CGCGCAGCACGCTATATAGCTCACCTACGTGCGCTTTGGGGGCGGTGCTAAGCGCTATTTGGCCAATGAATTGGCGTGATGGTATAAGGGCTTCAGACATTCGTCACACCGAAGGTGTTCCCAAAGCGATGACGTCATCGCAGCATCTTGTTCTCCTACTCAGGGAACCAAGGTTACATACGTAACCGAGATGTTATTCTATGTTAGTAACCCTCGTTTTTGTTTAATGTGTTGTTGTATTTAAATATAATTTGGCGGTTTTTCGATGATCTGTCGTTGATCCCGCCTCGCGGCGATGACGTCATCACTAGCGCGCGCTCACTCCGTCAGCGTGGAGTCTTCTGAGGAGAGGAGAGCAGATCACAGTATTTCACTTATTTAACTGTTAAATACACTTTACACAGTTTGTTTATGCAACACATAGGAGCTCGTTTCTGCCTTGTTATCATCGAGTACAGCACTGTTTCTGCGTTTGCTGACTTAAACACTTAGAACAACATGTGAGGAAACGTTAAATTGAGACCTGATTGATTTTGTGTGTTCGTGTGAATAATTGTTTCTATGTTTGTAGTGAGAACTGTTGCTGAATGTCAAGTTAAAACATTGATCTGTGAGGAGAATGATCTCAAGTGTTGCTGCTGCCATTTTATTTCTACACTTTTGGCATATTAAATCCGTTAGTTTGTTAAAATATACTGAAACAGAGACTGCTAACGTTACATTGAGCCTATAATGAGACATCCATACATAAATGTGAATATAGCGAAATATGAACCAAATGTGACACTGAAATCATTAAATATTGCTTTGTGGTCACTCCGTCAGCGTGGAGTCTTCTGAGGAGAGGTGAGCAGATGACAATATTTCACTTATTTAATTGTTAAATACACTTTACACAGTTTGTTTATGCAGCATATACGAGCTCGTTTCTGCCTTGTTGTCATCGAGTACAGCACTGTTTGTGTGTTTGCCGGCTTAAACACTTAGAACAACATGTGAGGAAAACGTTAAATTAAGACCTGATTGATTGTGTTTTTGTATGTTCGTGTGAATGATTGTTTCTATGTTTGTAGTGCTGATAATGTTGCTGTTACTGAATGTCTCAGAGATCTGTGAGAGGAATGGATGCAAACCTATATCA